TGATGCCTACGAGTAGAACAAAACGTGACCCGGTCCCAGTTTAGTCATCAAAGAAAAGACTTAAGAAATTAAGAAGAAAATGAAATGGCAGCAATAAGGTGAGGCAAGGGCGAGCACAGCTTGAGCAGAGCGGCGACGTCACGTAGCAGGTGACCCGCCGGGTGCTCTGTAGCACCGTGACAAACAACCCACTCCGAGGGGGGCAGCCCTCAGTAAGAGCAGTCGTCCTGGGGGCACCCTCAGGTATCTTCCCAGCAACTGGGGGGTTTTGCCTCCAGAACTACTGAATTTGGCTTTGCCAAATTAGCTTTGCCGCTGCCTCACCCCCTGTGCTGCCACTTTTTTGACATGGTGCCGTTGGAAGACAGACGCTGGAGCTTGTGGCTGAATTCACCTGTCGAAAGAAAACCCGGAGAGAGGTGAAGGGCAAAGCTGTTTCTCTTCTGAGCATGCTCCTCAAGAGCTCCCACCCCAACCCCATCCCCATCCCCATCCCATCCCATCCCGCTGGAGACTGGGATCAGAGCAGTAACTGACAACGCAGCTGTTATTACCAAGCAGATAAAAAGGGATGGGTCCTGCCGAACCCTGATGTTCTGTTTTGGGGCTGTCCCCCTCACACGGGGCCGTTTTTTTTCCTGCCCCGGGCGTGTTTCGGTCTCTACCTGCGTTTGACTCCAGGCTGCTGTCAGCCTCAGCAATGGAGGTTGGCCAGGATTTATGGACCTGGTGTCCCCTTCCACCTGCAGAGGACAGTGCGTTTGAGTTTGCTTTCTGTGGTCAGGGGAGAACAGCCTGGGCTCCAGGACACACTCGAGTCACCGAGGCAACCTCTTGGCTTCCTGGTGACAGGCTGGGGGGGGCTGTGGCAGCTTCAGTCACTTGTGCCACGAGGGAAAGAAGCGGTGGGAAGCTGGAGAACGGGCTGTTAGGTAGCACCAGACAGCAAAAGCAAAAAAATAAATGTAGATCCCCAGGATGCGGCACCCACAGAGGTCCCGCTCCTCTGCTCCGGGCTCACCTCTCCGCTCACCCGCCGTGGCCCCGCTATGCTGCTCCCTGGCTCCTGCCCCCGGCTCCGAGGCAGCTGCGTCCTTGGGCAGCGCAGCCCCATCAGCGCCCGGGGAAAAGTCGCTGGTGTTGAAGCTGCCTTTCCGCGTCCGAGTAAAGGGAGACCTGGCGAGCAGACAGAAGGAGAAAAGGGAATATCGGAGTGGGTAAGAAGGAAAACCTTATCCGTGGCTGCCATTTGCCCCTCCTGGCTCTGCCTGTCCTCCCGCGAGTCCCGGGCAGCCCATCTCATCCACCGGAGGATGCGAGGGGAGCTCCAGGGAAAGGCTGTCAGTGACTGAGAAGACGAGTGTAAACCATCCCTCCTCTCCTACCAGGCGTTGTGTGACACGTAGGGCTCGAAGTCGTACTGGATGTCGGGTTCGTCTCCTCGCTGCAGCTGCTTGACGTGCGAGGCGTACTGCTGCCCAGGGTCATAGAGCTTGCTGCTCTCGCACAGGGTCTGGAAGTTGACGGGCAGTGGAGCCGTCTGCATATGCATGATCTGGTAGAAGGAGATGGTAGCCTAAAAATAACGTAGAGAAAATGAGACGTGAGATCTGTGAGCTGGCGTGCACAGAAGAGAGACAGGGAGCTCCAGGTGGGGTGAGAAATGAGGAGCACGGAGCGGTGCTCGGTCTGCAGCCTTGAGCCTTGGCTTTCCGGAGGGCAAGGAGAGAGGAGAGCTCTATGTCCACCTGCACCTCACCTGAAGTGGGGGCAGCCCGCTGGGGAGACAGCTCTGAGCTTCCCTGAGCAGAGCACAGCTACCCCCTGCCCCGGGGACCATCCCACGCGAGCCCCGCTCACCGTCTTGATGACCTGGTCGCTCTGTTTGATCAGTTCGTGGATCTGCCGCAGGGAGTTCACCTTGACATCCTCCAGCTCCTGCTTCTGGGTGTTTGCGTCCGCCACGCAGGTCCGATACGTGGCCATCGCCTCCTCTGCCTGGGAGTTGGGAGAGCAAGAGATGGAAACAGCTCGTGGGTGAGGAGACCAGCTCTCAGCGCTCGGAGCCACCTCCTCTATGCTCTCC